CAGGTGCTGACCGTCTGGGGGGGGGGGGGGGGGGGAGGGATGAGACCTGTTTTGGGACAGGGTACATTTTGCCCAAGCAAAGAAAGTTGTCAACGCTTAGACATAAAAATAATCTATACACACTCCCCAGCTGGGCTTTGGGACATGATACAACACTGTGAGTAGCGTGCAGGGATCCCATCTTATTACAGTGGATTTAAAGACTTAAAAAAAGGCTTGTTCAGAGCCACATTCTTTTTTCCAAACTAACCACTATCTTCCTGGCTCTGCCTGCAAGGTGCAGGATGCTGTATGGGAAGACAGACCTCAAAATTCAGCCTGTTAAAATATAATGGGAAACCTGAGCTTGGACAAAGGACTGACCCCCTTCCTCACATTAAGCCCCAAAGAGTCTATAAAGAGATACTGGGCTTGTTTACCTTTTTAAAACAAACTTTAAAAAAAATAATAAAAAATACAAATATTCCAGTTGTCATGCATGGTGGGAGAGCTGGCCAAGTTCATCTCTCCCCCCAGGAAAGGGCAACTGGTTGAAGGGTCATAAAGTCACATCTTCCTGCTGGGATGCATCAGCCAGTCTCATGTTTTGCCACATGAAATCAATGAACATGGAGGCCTGCAGTAATCGGCTCAGTCTCTGGAAATGGCGCTCTGCAGAGAAAGAAAACCAATGGTTGACACCACAGAGGGGCAAGTTCACCAGGAGAAGGAGGTGCAAAAATTCTTCTGTTTAGACCAAGGCAAACTGGGAACATCCACAACACAGGAGGAGACCTCAGCCTCACAGACTATGAAAAACTATTTGTCAGTGTTGGTAAAGAGGCCAGGAAGTGCTAATAATCAGGTAGCGCCAGGATCAAGATAACAGAACTGAGCAGCGTAAGAGCTCAGAGCTCAAAGGAGCAGAGGGCAGCTGAGATTGTGTACAATGAAGCGCTGGGCATGTCATCACAGGCATCACCAGCTCTGAGCTCCCAACAGATCCAACAGGCTGACCCACCAATGACCCGAACGTTCCCCCAGCATGACTCACCAGTGTAAGGCAGCAGGGACTCCACAGCAGTTTTAATGCCCGAGTACTGCAGGAGGCAATCTGGTGTTTCGTGCTTTAGGAGGGTTTCAATGACAGCCTGGGCCTCGTGACAGTTCCGAGAGTTTGTATTCCACGTCACCAAGAATGTTAACAGCGCCTCTAGGGAGGAAGGAGGCAATTTGTACATGCTAGCTGGGCTGAGGGCGCTGCACCCTGCAAGAGAGGCCAGGCTAGAAAGCACCTCTCATACCTTAGGGAGCAGTTCAGCTCCCATGCACGATGACTGACAAGCCTGGAGAGGTCAAAGAGCTATATGGAGAACCCTTTCCTGAGCTGTCACGGGGATGTCCTAAACAAGGGGGCGGGTAAGGTAGGGCAAAGCCCTTTGGGCAGATGTGACAGAAGGAAAGCAGATTTTGGGGTGCGGCAGTTATGACTTGGTGATTAGCTCAGTGCACTTGTCTCTCAATGCAGGACGGTCTCAGATGATGCAGCACCAAGGGGCACGGCCATGTCAGAGGCTGATGACCTCAGACTAGCTCATAGCAGTTTCTGGTGTTTATCACGAGTAGCACCATAACCAAGAGGCTGGCCCTGGGCAGCAGTCCTGCTCAATGTCGGTGGGAGCTCACTGGTGAAAGACAAGTCTAGGGAGACTCTTCTTTTAATTTTAGTTGAGAAAACAAGTCCCTCACCTGAAAGGTTTTAGTGTATAAACCATGTTGCAACAAACCTTTTTGATCCTTCCGCAGCCGAAGGATGTTCTCTTCCAAGTGCTTTCTCCCATCGATTTCCTTGAGGATGGCTGCAAAAGAGAGAAATGAAGAGGCAAGGAAAGAAAAAGAATTTCAGTTCAAGAGCAAGATTCCTGCCCTCCTTCTGCACTGAGGATCCCGAAGGAAATAGCATGCAGGCTCACAAGAGCCTGTGGACAGAGAGAGAGGCCAATACACTTTAGATACACAGCTACCTTCCCTTCTGGCCGTTCTAAACCTGCAAGCACTTCAGTATGTGATCTGAACATCCCTCTGTTGGAACAGGCTTTCTCAGGCATAAGAGTGGCTCCTGACGTGCTGTTTAACCTGTCTGTCCATGTACCAGAGGAGAGACAAAACTCCTGCCAACTCACTGCATGTCTATGCAGAGCCTGGCTTGGGAGGAGCTAAAGCCACCACCCTGACACCCAGTGCTGCTGAGAGCCCCTCACACACAGCAGCTGATTTTTCACATGAGCCCCTGACCCCAGGCAAAGAGAATCAAATAACAGGTAGCTCCTGTATAAACTCTTGAGTGTAGGTTGCTACGCTGGGAATGACAGCTGGCCAGACTTCTAACATGAGACTTAGTGCTCCTCAGCCATGCCTGTCACACTCGGAGGAACAGTGACATCTGATGTCCCTGCTGTGATGGATCCCTTCTAAAACGCACCCATAGTTTGAGAGCTGGGAGACCGTTTGTTATCAGGAGCACTAAGCATTGATTTCAGTTAGGAAAACAGGAGTGATATGAGAAAGGGAAAACAAAAGTTCTCAGACAATTAGGCTTTGTAGTCTTCACCTACCTGGAAGAGATGTTCTGAAATGCTAGAAGCAGACAATGCCTTCAGAGCTTAACATGGACTCACCTTTGACCACCATCAACACTGTGTGTGGACGATCCAGAGAGATTGCCAAACCTAAAGCTTTGAGATATCTTTTCTCATGAAGCAGGTTAGAAAGCTCTTGTTCTCTGGAAAACAATTTGGGTCAAGAGAATGTCAGAGGAGTATTTGGTTGATGTAGCAAAACGCTATGCAGAAAGTAAATTGGGCAACAATAGCGTGCAGAAGCGTAAGCCAAGAAGTTAATACCGCTTTCCAATGAACAGCTCAGCGCCCTCATTGTGCAGATAATTACCCTGGCACGTTGAAGGACTCCCTGAGCTATTCAGTGCTGGCTGATGCAGGAGGAAATGAATGATAATAGGTTTCAGCAGTTTGACTTGGCTTATCTCAGCAGTACGTAAACATGAAACTAATCGATTGTCAAGCTGACGGTATTGTAAGCAAGGCTTTACAGTAACTAAAGATAAACTACAAGGTAGAAGAAGAGACTACTGCAATTTGATATCACCTAAATAGTTAAACAACAGACTCCATAGATTAGAAGGAACTGGATGACCAAGTGTGGACAGTCTCATTGGGCAGAAGTCGCCTTTTCACAGCCCGCCACTCTACAGTATCAACTTACTTCATAATCTGCTCTTCCTGTTTAGCTTGTGCCTCTTCCTGTTCAATTTCAGTGACATCCTTTAACAGACCAGAACACAATCACATCAAATCTTGCTTTAATACGGATGAATTTTTGTTTAGCCTTCAAGTGATCAGAAGATTTTTGTAGAAAGATCTTCAGGTCAAATAATTGCTAAATCTACCAACTCACAACTTCCTTCCAAATGATCTTTAGAACACCAGTGCTTGGGCAGGCTGCTAAGGCTCACCTGCCGTCTGGGTGTGCGCTCCCCACCCTCCCCCCCCAAAAAAATAGAAATCAAGACATGCCTTACTGAACCAATTTCAAAATGCAGAAAATGAGGGGAGCGCGCATGTCATGCTGGAAACAGGGTTAGGAACAAACCACTGGGATCCTGATCTCTGCACTGCATTCTGATTACTAACCTAGAGAGGAAACAGAAAGACTCCATACTGTACCTTCCACAGCGTGATGCAGGAGTCACTGGATGCTGTCACAACCATGTCATCTTGCTTGTTGGAGTGAAGACCCCAGATTTTATCTTCATGACCATCTAATGTTTTCACACACTCATTTGTTTTAATTGTCCAGAGTTTTAAGAGACCATCAGAACCGCTTTTGGAAGACAAAAAACCAGAACTAATTAACTCAGAGGATCACTAGATAGATCCATTCTTGCTCTGCCTTGCCTCCAGTACTGGATAAACACTTCTCATTCCATTGCCTTCCAAACGGGAAGCAAAACCAACTACAGATGTCAAGAGAGCTTAAGAATCTAAAGCCATGCAGCTCTGAAGGCAGGGCCCAACTTTAGAGGCTCTCCAATAGCAGAAAAAGGCACTAGCTTATTAAAACTCATTCCAAACAAGATACACTGCCTTTCCAGTGTTACTAAGATCTCTCAAGTGATTCCTTCTTGGAAAAACCTATTACTTACATATCACCATAAGCTCCAATATTCCAGTCTCCCACATTTCAGCTTTTCTGTAAGGAAAGGCAGCACAGAGGACAAACTGAGGCCCAGAAAAGCTACATTATGTCCTGCTTCTAGCTAGAGCACCAACTTTTGCAGGTACCAATTCCAACTGTTTAACTCTTGCTGCTTTTCCCTCGCCAAAGACAGTAGGGTGAGGTGCACCCTTGGCTCTGCTCAGCTACAGTGTATCTCACCAGCTCAGCAATGTCAGTGGAGGTAACTAGAATCTGCAGCATAACTGGAGAACTAGAGGAAGATAAGCTAGTCCATGCAAGAAGCTTAGCAGAAACAGGAGATTTTCCTATCAGATTTTCCAAAACTAAATCCATTGCTCAAGACTCTGCTCTCTTGCTGCTGACATCATCTAAGGGACTTCCTTCCTGATTAGTTTTAATAGCTTTCTTTGGTGTCCTGACTTACCTGCTAAGCAGCTGTGTCCCCCGGCTTACAAAAATGATCTTCAGTACAGAGGCATCATGACCTTCAAAAGTCTGGAAAATAGGAAGTTCAAAAGAGTTGTTGCCAGGCTTTTCAAAGACAGCCTTCTCTAAGGGGATGAAATGTACTCCCACAGCCCTAATAGGTAAGGTCCAATAAGCAGCCTCTACTCTTGGGACTTTCTCTTACTGTAGGTTGAAAGGGCAGTAGAAT